TGCTGTATGGTGGGAAGGCGTGGAAGGAAAGTTCCACGGTGAGGCCACTTGGGAGAAGTTCGAAGTGGAGTTCTATAATCAGTACTACTCAACTTTTGAATTCAATCTCAAAAGAAGGGAGTACACAAACCTGAAACAGGAGGATGGTTGCTCGGTGAGGCAATTGGAACAAAGGTTCCGTGACTTGGCCCGATTCATCCCAGAATACTCTTTGGATGAAAATCGTATGGCCAACCATTTTTGGGATGCTCTACAGTTGGACATCCGTGACCGAGCTACTTACCATCACAACATGACATTTAGCCAGATTGTCGATCAGGGGCTCCTTGGGGAAGCCCAATGGAACGAGAGGAAGTTGAGGGACGCCGAGGAGGCGAAGAAGAGAAGATGGGGAAACTCGGGACCCCAAGACCACTCCCGGAAGCATCACGCTGGGGGTGGCAATTCATTCAGGGCGCCGGCACCACCAGCGAAAAGGAACAAAGGTTCAGGAGGGCAAGGGCCCAAACCGGGGGGTGTGGGACCACCCAGGTGCGCAAACTGCGGTAAGAACCACGGGGGAAGGTGCAATGAACCACCCCGGTGCTTCAAATGCAGTAGCACGAGCCACCTCAAATCCTCTTGTCCAATGCTGAACGGGGGAGGACCATCGGGAGCCATGGGAGGACCTACGACTAGTAGGGGACGTGCGGGGCCGTCTCAGGCCGGCACGGGAAGGAGCGGACCCACGGCTAGCAACGCCGCGTCCGTTAACCAAGGGAGGACCCAAGCACGGGTGTATGCAATGACCGAGGCTGATGCTCGGGCCAACCCGGACTCCATTGCAGGTAATCCCTTGATTTCACACGTATTTGATTATGTGATTGGTTGAAAAATCTTCAAAAATATGAAGGACCCGATCGGGTGCCCCTATAGACCCGACCGGGTATAAGCCACGCTTCGAGTTTGAAGTATGCACCCGTTCGCGCAGCCAAGGCAGGATGCTTTATTTTTGACATTTCGAGCAATGCCCGATCGGGTATGGCTATATACTCGATCGGGTATGTGTAGATTTTGAGCTTCGAAGTGTGTACTCGATCGAGCGTAGAAGACAAGGAGCTTTTATTTGAGGATTTTGAGTGATACCCAACCGGGTATAGGTATATACCCGACCGGGTATTGACATTTTGCCCGAATTCGAGGCTGGTACTAAACCGAGCAAGGAAGACAAGGGGGTTTCCCCTTAAGAATTCGAGTGATACCCGACCGGGTAGAAGACCCTACCCGACCGGGTATAGGGTAATTCTAGGCTGAAATTTCTTCGTCAGGTCCTTTTCAGTCGGGATGTCGAATAGGGTGTCTTACATGACTTATATATGTAGGAACACTAAAGATCAATGATAGGGATGCGAGGATTCTCATCGATACCGGGGCACAACGTTCATTTGTGAGCGGAGCGTTTGCCAAGGGATTGAACATGCCTTTGGTAGCAATGATGCAACCTTTGCTGGTCTCTACGCAATTGGGAGATGATGTAGAGCGGAAACACTACTATTCCTCGTGTAATGTAGGGATAGGGGGGCACTGTCTAACGGGTGACTTTGTGCCGTTAGATATGCTCGAGTTTGATGCTATACTTGGCATGGATTGGCTCGAAAAACACCATGCGAAGGTAGATTGCTACACCAAGGTGTTAGAACTAAAGGATGGAGAAGGAAACATTCTATGCTTCGAGGGAGATAGAGGGAAATTCAACCCTTGTATCATATCGGCCATAAGGGCAAGGCGTATGATGAGGAAAGGGTGTCAAGCATACTTGGCCTATGTCATAGGCAAGGAGGGCAAGGAAAAGAGTCTCACTGAGGTGAGAGTGGTGAGTGAGTACCCAGAAGTTTTCCCTGAAGAACTCCCGGGACTCCCACCAGATCGAGAAATTGAGTTCACCATTGAAGTAGAACCCGGTACAAAACCCATCTCGATTCCTCCATATCGGATGGCACCGGCTGAACTTCAAGAGTTGAAGGTGCAATTGGAAGAATTGCTGGACAGCGGATTCATCAGGCCGAGTCATTCACCATGGGGAGCACCGGTACTATTTGTAAAGAAGAAGGATGGTACACTCAGAATGTGTATCGACTACCGTCAGTTGAACAAGGTCACGATAAAGAATAAATATCCTTTGCCAAGGATCGATGACTTGTTTGATCAACTACGGGGGGCAACGGTGTTCTCCAAGATTGACTTGAGGTCAGGCTACCATCAACTGAAGATCAAAGAGAGTGACATACCCAAAAGTGCATTCCGTACAAGGTATGGTCACTATGAGTTTCTAGTAATGTCGTTTGGGCTTACGAACGCCCCCACGGCATTCATGGACCTCATGAACCGAGTATTTCACCAATACTTAGACCGGTTCGTCATAGTGTTCATTGATGACATTTTGATATACTCCATGAATGAAGAGGAACACGAAAAACATCTAAGGTTTGTGCTTGAAACACTGCGGGAGAAGCAACTCTTTGCCAAATTCTCTAAATGTGAATTTTGGCTTGGGGAGATCGGTTTTCTCGGGCATGTGGTATCGGGCTCGGGCATTTCAGTTGATAACTCAAAGATTGAGGCGGTCACTAATTGGGAGAGGCCCAAGAACGTGAAGGAGATAAGGAGTTTTCTCGGTTTAGCGGGGTATTACCGCAAATTCGTGGAAAAGTTCTCGGTGATAGCATCTCCACTCACGAAGCTCACTAAAAAGGGGGCTAAGTTTGTGTGGGATGACAAGTGTGAGAAGGGGTTTCTTGAGCTAAATAAACGTTTGACCGAAGCACCAGTGCTTGCCTTGCCCGTGCAAGGGTTAGGGTATGACATCTACAGCGATGCTAGCATTCAGGGACTGGGATGTGTACTGATGCAATCAGGGAAGGTGATTGCTTATGCTTCTCGGCAGTTGAGGAAGCATGAAGTAAACTACCCCACACATGATACAGAGCTAGGTGCTGTGGTATTTGCAATGAAGATTTGGAGGCACTACCTCTACGGGGAGTTGTGTCACATTTACACCGACCACAAGAGCTTGAAGTATGTGTTCACTCAGAAAGAGTTGAACATGAGATAGAGGAGATGGATGGAGTTGATTAAGGATTACAACTTGATCATTGACTATCATCTAGGCAAGGCTAATGTTGTAGCCGATGCACTGAGCAGGAAGAGCTCATCATCAGGGGTTTTACTCACATGCTTACGGACATTGAGGGCACGCGTGGAGATATCCACGGATGGGGCGCTATTGGCCAGATTTGAGGTGAGACCCACCTTATTAGATGAAATCAGAACATGTCAAGGCAATGACGAGGAATTTCAGAAAATCCGGGAACGGATGCTTGTGGGGCCCGTCGAGGGTTTCCGTGAGAGAGAAGATGGACTTCTACTATTCAAGGAACGAGTGTGTGTACCATCGGATGAGGAGCTCCGAAAATCTATCCTTGAGGAGGCTCACTCATCTGCGTATGCCATGCACCCGGGCGGTACAAAGATGTACCTGGACTTGAAGGAAAGCTACTGGTGGTCGGGGATGAAGAGAGAGATTGCAGAATATGTGAGCCGTTGCCTTACTTGTCAACAGGTTAAGGCAGAGCACCAACACCCGGCAAGGTTATTGCAACCACTTACCATTCCAGAATGGAAGTGGGAGCATGTTACCATGGACTTCGTGGTGGGTCTACCACGGACGGTTAGGAACTACGACGCAGTATGGGTGGTAGTCGATAGGCTGACCAAGAGCGCTCATTTCCTACCTATCAACACTACCTATAAGCTCGAGCGGTTGGCCAAATTGTACACAAATGAGATTGTGAGATTGCATGGGGTTCCGGTTACTATAGTATCGGATAGAGACCCACGGTTCACATCACGGTTTTGGCCTAAGTTCCAGGAATCTATGGGTACGAAATTGAGGTTTAGCACCGCGTTTCATCCTCAAACGGATGGGCAATCTGAACGGGTGATTCAGATCTTGGAGGACATGTTAAGAGCATGTGCCTTGGAGTTCCAGGGGAGCTGGGACAATCAGTTGGCTTTAGTGGAATTCGCCTATAACAACAGTTATCAGGCAAGTATAGGCATGCCTCCATACGAAGCATTGTATGGGAGGAAATGCCAAACACCATTGTGTTGGGACGAGGTCGGCGATGCTAAGCTCGAGGGCACCGAGTTAGTCGAGATCACTAAGGAGAAGATAAAAGTCATACAGGATAGGCTCAAGGCTGCCCAAGACCGGCAGAAGAGCTATGCTGATAAACGTCAGAGGACGTTGGAGTTTGAGGTTGGTGACGAGGTATTTCTGAGGGTATCACCTTGGAAAGGGATCATCAGGTTCCTCAGTCAGGGTAAGCTTAACCCACGTTACATAGGTCCGTTCAAAATCCTTGAAAGGATTGGGGTTATAGCTTACCGACTTCAGTTGACTCCAGAGTTAGAAAAGATTCATAATGTGTTTCATGTTTCTATGCTCAAAAAGTATGTACGGGACCCGTCACATATTCTTGAGAAACCACCGGTAGAAATCCGAGAAGACCTACATTATACGGTACAGCCGGTAAAGATCATAGACCGACAGGTCAAGAAGCTAAGGAGCAAAGAGGTGCCGATGGTGAAAGTACTTTGGAAGAGTGATCGTGTCGAGGAGCAAACGTGGGAAGTGGAGACCCTAATGAGGGAACAATATCCATTTCTGTTTAATTAGACACGTGGATTTCGGGGACGAAATCCCAAATAAGGGGGGTAGAACTTGTAACACCGCCCCCAAGTATTTGTACTTCATCGAATTATGTATTGAACCCTGAGAAATGTATAAAAGCCTTTTTACGTGATTGTAAATTTTTATCATTTCTTTTGCGTGAATAGTAAAATTCACGTGGGGCCCACACCGGAGGTAGGGGCCGCCCGATATTATCGGGGCAACATATTATATTTATCTTGGACTAGATAATATGTATATGGTGGTGGATATCCTAATTGGGCCATGGCAATGGCATAGGGTTGACCGGTTGGTCAAACGGGGCCAAATTATCAGTATCGACAATTTATTAGATAACAGCCCGAAAAGGGATTTCGGAGACTTCTAAATTGAATTTGGGGAATGCATATTGATTCTAAGGTCCAATAAGGATTGGGAACAAGTGTTATATTTTATTTGACCCGATAAGATAAAATATACTTAAAACTGTCCGGAAAATACAACTTTCGGGACCGATTGTACACTCAGGTACACAAAGGGTTGACCTCCCACATGAGTGGGGGCCAACCCACGTCCTTGGTATGGAAAATAGCAAGGGGAGCCGCATCATGGAGCTGAGAATTGGCTGGGGAAGTGATTGGGAGACCAATCAATATGAGGGTGGGACCATTGCCATATGATTTGGTGAGTAATGCCAAAATGGCATCCTCAATCACCCCTCACCCCATATGCTCGGTTCAATCATCCAAGGAAGGGAGAGAAACTCTGAAAATACTCCATTTCCTCATCCTTTCACGCACCAAGAACAAAGGAGGAAGAAGGAGGGGAAAAGAGAAGAGAAAAGTTGGTTTTGGAGAGGAAAACTTGTGTTTAGCAAAGTAAGGACTCCATTAACCCCATTTCGTTTTCTTTAATCATCTTATATGATTATTCAATCATATTTCACACCCTAGGATTGTTCTACACGTTGGGATGTGTAGAAAGAGGGGTTGGAAGGTGGTTCTAAGTCCAAGAACGGACTTAGAAGCCAAAGGACCGGTTCGCCGGAAAATAACCTTTTGAAGGTTATTTATATTACTATGGGTTTTATGATGATAAAAACTTGTTAGTAACTTGTCTAAGGTATTCAAGGAACTTTCACGGAGTTGAAAAGGTTGCCGGAGTTGTCGCCGGAGTTCGTCGAAGTTCGCCGGAGTTTCACCGAAGCTAAATCGGGAAGGCTAGGACTTCATAAGCTTCATTAAGGTGAGAAGACGGCTTTATGCTTTATAACTTTTGCGTTAGGAATGAGATTACCTAAATTAATCAAGGATATGTTTTGTGGAATGATTAAAGATAATCAAGTATTTGCTTATGCCATGATTTTGCATAAGACATAGTTGAAAAGCATGTTATGTAGGTTTGGTGATTAAAAATGTGATAAAATATTTTGTGTGATGATCCAGGGGTCCAAATTGGTATTTTTGGATCTAGGACATCAAGAAGTATATGTGTATAAAATTTCAAGTTAATCGGACTCCGTTTGAGTGGTCAAAAGGGGCGTTGACCGCCAAGTCAACTGCCATACCCGACCGGGTATTGACTCATACCCGACCGGGTATTTGCTGAAAAATTGCCCAGGGGGCTACTGTCTCCTATACCCGATCGAGTATAGGTAGATACTCGATCGAGTATACATGGAAAATTAGCTTTGGGGGCTACCGCCTCCTGTACTCGACCGAGTATGGGTAGATACTCGATCGAGTATTGGTTTATGCTCAAAACGGACAGTTTTGAGCGGGTTAATGTGGGCCGTTCAGGTGGGACCCGCCCACATTGGTTCCCAAGGATGGTTATATGACTATAGGGCTAGGTATTGTCCATAGTTGAAGGAACGAAAGGTTAGCCATATCCAGGTTAGGGTTTGGTAAGGATTTAGTTTGGGGTTGAGTATCCCCGGGACATGCAAATGATCCTGAAACTCGGTTGGGGTTGAGCATCCCCGGGACTATAAATGATCCTGAAACTCGGTTGGGGTTGAGCATCCCCGGGACATTAAATTATTCTGAAACTCGGTTGGGGTTGAGTATCCCCGGGACTATACATGATCCTGAAACTCGGTTGGGGTTGAGCATCCCCATGACTGTAAATGATCCTGAAACTCGGTTGGGGTTGAGCATCCCCGGAACATTTAATGATCCTGAAACTCGGTTGGGGTTGAGTATCCCCGGGATGCTAAGTGCTCCCAAAACTCGGTAGGATATTATAAATGTAGAATGTAGCTAGCGAGCTAGGCATTCGGGAAAAGGGTGAGAAAGGTCAGGTAAGAACTTTATCTCTAAAAGACTCTTTGAATGAAATGACCTACGGGTCGAGTATTTTACATATATATATATAGTATGTATCATCGGATGAGTGAGTCACATACATATATGTATCACCCTATTTTTGGGTCCCGTGTCTGAAACATTAGTTATTCTTCATATAGCCTGCTTGTCACTAGTACTTCTATGGAGTACTGACCCCTCCGGGGGCCCTCACATTTTTTAGGGGTAGGCTAGGGTCCTACTACCTGCACCTTTGCCTAGGGTGATCGATCGAGAAGGAAGACGTGGTTCGTGCTTCCATTCATATTTCAAATGTATAAACTGCTCATGGATTTTTTTGAACAATATTTTCATTAAAACAGTTGGGGGCCTGCGTGCCCGTGTTTGCCACGTGTGGCTAAGTATCAAACATTTTATTATTCCGCATTTGTTTGATTATGATATTGATGTTGATTGTATGTGTTTACTAATCGGTTTGGCAATAGAATCAATCGGACGCCTTGTACAATCCAATAGGGATGAACTGTTGTTGTTCCTATCGGGTTGTACGGCGGTTGTCTACGTGGCTCGGATGCGGTCCGGGGCGTGACAATAACTTTCTCCCGCATATGTAGTTCTTTTAAGTATAAGAAAATAAGAAGACAAAACAATTGAGCCTCATGATAATTGACTCTCTCATATGTAGTGCTTTTAGGCATAAGACGCTAAGAAAGATAAACTTACTAACAATCGAGTGAGAGAATTTTCTCTCTCATATGTAGTTCTTATTAAGTATATAAGATAATCCTGCTAACCGTTGAGAGTGATTTTTTTTCTTCAATTCCATATGTATCACTTTTAGGTATAACATAAGTCAGCTAACAATTGAACGTGAGAATTTTGTCTCTCTCTCTCTCTCATATATATATATAGTCTTTTTAGATATAACAAGATAAACTTGCTAATAATTAAGCGAATTTTTTCCCCCTCATACATAGTGCTTTTAGTTTTTAGAAGATAATCCGACTAACTATTGAGTGGGAGAGTGTTTTCCCATATGTAGTTCTTTTAGGTATAACAAAATTAGTCGGCTAAGAATTGAGCAGATTATTTTTCCCTCATATGTTAGCACTAATTTAATAATCAGTTGCAAGTTCTTATTTAACTTGTATTTGTTAATTTAATATTTATTGCATTCACTTAAATTTTATGTCTTTCACTTATTGTATTCACTTTTTTAGAACAATATTTAATTTTTAAAATTTAATCTAATCATAAAAATTATTAAGTAGCAAATTTTAATGAGTGGTGTCAACTAAGTTTTTCTAATATACTCTTCATTGAATATATACTGTATAGACTTATACTTTATGGTATTAGATTATTGAACTCTTATTTTTCAAATATCTTAGAATCCTAAAAAGTTGTTTTTATTTTAATATTTAATTATATCATGAGTAAAAATATATGCACCATCTGCTCCTTCCTGTGTTTATGCACGGTACTATACTAATCTTCTCTAAATAAGATCAAACATTAGTTTTGTACCCTTACTATCTGATGGGGTTATGGGACTAGGCCCAGAGCCTAATCGGTCCAGGCCCCGAACTTGGACCAGCGGGCCCAAGCCCAGCAACCCAGAGCTCGAGTCAGTCCAACCAACCAGGGAAATCAAGGAGCGGAAGCCCAAGAGAGCCTGTCGACCAGCCCAGTGGGGAGCCTGCCTTCCAGCCCAGTGGGGAGCCCGCCTTCCAGCCTAGCCAGGAGCCTGCCGACCACCAGCCCGGCTGGGAGCCTGCGGTCCAGCCCAACTGGGAGCCTGCGGTCCAGCCTACCCGGGAGCCTGCCTTCCAGCCCAGTGGGGAGCCTACCTTCCAGCCTAGCCAGGAGCCTGCCGATCACCAGCCCAGCTGGGAGCCTGCGGTCCAGCCCAACTGGAAGCCTGCGGTCCAGCCTACCCGGGAGCCTGCCTTCCAGCCTACCCGGGAGCCTGCCTCCAGCCCGTTCAGAAGCCTTCCTCCAGCCTAGCGGGAAGCCCACCATCCAGTCCAGCAGGAGGGAGCTCAAGCGTCCAGCCTGCCAGCCAGGCTGACCTGCCAGCCAAGAAGAGTAACGGCCAACAATTAATGCGCGACTTAATTATGTGTTTAATTCTGTATTAATGTTGTAATTAATTTAGTCATTATTATGTTCGGCAGTTACCATTTGTAATCGCCTATAAAAGGCAATTCGAATTTCAAATACAGATATGCTATTTCTGGCTAACTTTCCATATTCGTACTTTCCTAATTCTTGCTTGAGTGTCGTACGTAGCTTTCCTAATAGCCTACGAGCGTCCTATTTTGGACCAACATTGGTGCTTTCATTGAGAGCCTCTATTGTCACTCACATAACTGGAGTAGGAATCACACAGGAAGATGGCCGGAATCTCGTCTCGACGTGACCATGTCTCAGTCCACACCGAGGAGTCCGCCCGGTCTGGCCGCCAGCGTGCCCTCGACAACCATGCACAGGGCAGGAGGGCGGCGCGCCAAGGCGACCTTCGGAACCAATTATCAGGCCACGGAGACCTAAGGGCGACGCTCAACCACACCCAAGGTGAGCGCTCGGTCCGCAGCCGGCGGGGGGGAGGCCGACGTCATGCTCCGCGCATGGACTCGGCTCGACTCAATGCCGGGGTGGAAGCCCTGCAGGAGGCAACTCGGGTTCTGGGGACCTTGGCTCAAAATTTCCAACAGATGGTGTCTGGCGGAAATGTGGATGAGCCTGCCCGTCAACAGACGCCAGCGGATGTGGAGGTGTCCTCCAGGCGGCGTGATGAGCGACGCTCTGGATCTAACTAAAACAGGGGGGAAGAAGTCTCCCATCGGCGGGGGGAAGAAGTCTCTCAGCAGCCTAGCCGACCCCATCGGCAGACGGGGAGGGGCGCCCAGCAGGGGCGCCCAACGCAAATGGAAGGAGGCGAGCCCTCTCGCCACTCTCACTGGGCGAGCAGTCGGACTGGCTCCACGGAGAGGCAAAACGTGGGGCCCCGACCTCACGTGCACGGACGACTTGGAGGTGCCGCCGGACATGCCCAGCCCCGCGCTGGAGCTGTCCGGGGGAACCCACCGCCGGCCGAGGTGGAAGATCTACGACAGCGCCTTGACGAGTTGAGAAGGAGGGTCGTCGGGGGGGAGCCTTACACGGCCGACCTCCGGATACCCGAACCCTTCACTCGGGCGGTCATGGATGCGCCGTTGCCGAGGGGCTACAAGCCCTGCGCCATTGAAGCATACAAGGGCGCTTCTGACCCCCAACATCATGTATCTCGGTACCTTTCCTACATGGTCATGATGGGGTATGAGGACGCCATCCGATGCCGCGGTTTCTCCGCCACTTTGGATGGCCCGTCTCGTGAATGGTATGATTCTCTACCTGACGGGAGTATCACGAATTTCCGTGAGTTGGCTCAGCGCTTTCTCCTGAGGTTCGCGAGCTCCCGAGACGTCAAGAAAAACTTCAGCCACCTGTTCGGTCTAAAACAGGGGAAGAAGGAATCATTGTCGACCTTCCTAGCGAGGTGGAGGGCCGAGTCAGTCAAGGTTCAGGGCCTTGATGACAGGACCGGGGTGGCCATGCTCACAAACTCTATCCGATCGGGCGAGCTTTACAAAGATTTCGTCAGAAGTCCCCCCACCTCGTACGAGGAGGCGCTCGGCCGTGCCGACCGGCAAGCCGAGGCGGAGGACGCCTTGCAGAGGAAAAGAGATGAGGAAGAAGGTGCAAAAGAAGAAAAGAAGAAGGAAGCCGGTTTGGGTGCTGAGAAAGCTGACGGCCAAGCTAACAACAAAAACAACAAGTTCAGAGGTAACAAAAGTAGAGGCAAGGGCAAGGCGGACGTCCCGAGCGGACCGCTACAGCCCGTCAAGCAATTGACCCCACTTGCTCAGCCGGTCGGGGCCATCCTCGACTACGCGGAGGAGCAAGGTTTAGTCGACTTTCCGGAGGAGTGTGATGTGGTGACTGCCAAGCGCAACCACGACCAATATTGTCGATTCCATCAGAGAGCAGGGCATGATACAGATGATTGCGTCATTCTCCGGCGGCAAATTGAAGAACTCATCCAGAAAGGGTACCTGGGCCAATTCGTTGGCAAACAAGGAGGCATCCCGCAGAAGAGGAGCCTGACGTGGCAGCGGTCCGACCAAGCTACCACGTCAAAGGAGACACCGCCTGCCAAGAAGCGAGAGCTCGGCGCCTTCTCCGAGGAAGACGATGCCGACCTAGGGAACGGCCCCCGGAAGTACCATCGATGTTCATTCATATTCGGGGGACCCCAGGGAGGCGACACCTCTGGAGAGCGGAAGCAGTGGGCCCGAGCCCTATACGTTGGGGAGATAACCAGGGCTCCCGCCGACAAGAGGGTGAAGAGGGACCCCATCTTCTTCACCGACGCAGATTTGCCACTGATGCCTCCGCTGCACAGGGATGCCTTGGTCATCAAGGTCTCGGGCTGGACCGAAAAGACTTGATCCCGGTGAGAACCCCACTCTCAGGCTTCACCGGGGACTCCATTGAGTCGGAGGGCAGCATAGTCCTCCCTGTGATGGTGGGCTCCGAGCCCTGCGTATCCAAGTTAGACGTCGAGTTTATCGTCGTACGCCTAACTTGTGCGCATAAGATCATCATGGGAAGGCCAGCCCTGGAAGACCTCAAATGTGTGATATCCCAGGAGCACCTATGCATGAAGTTTCCCACTCCGAATGGCGTCGGAGTCGCCAGGGGAGATCAGCGAATGGCGAGGAGCTGCTATCTCAAAGCTTGCAAACAAATCGGTCAAAAAGACTTGAGGATCCACACTATCAACAGCAAAGCCATGAAGTATGAGGAGGGTCAGCTCCGCGCTGAACCCACCTCAGACGTGGAGGAGATCCAGATTGACCCCGAGAGGCCGGAGCGGAAGGTCAAGATCGGGACCGGGCTCCCGGCCGACTTGAGGGAGAGGATTATCCAGGTACTTGTCCTTTTTAGCGTTGTCTTCGCGTGGGGACCGGAGGACATGCCTGGCCTTGACCGAAGCATCGCTGTCCATCGGCTGGCGGTCGATCCAATGGCGAAGTCCATCCAGCAGAAGAGAAGACACCTCTCAACCGAGAGGAGGGAATTCGTGAAGAAGGAGGTCAATATGCTCCTGAGTATCAAGCATATCCGGGAGGTCTTGTACCCGGTCTGGCTGGCAAACGTGGTCCTGGCCCCGAAGCCGCCAACCTGGAGGATGTGTGTTGATTACACCGATCTCAACAAGGCATGCCCGATGGATCCATTCCCATTGCCTAACATCGACCAACTAGTCGATGGGACGGCCGGATGTGAGTCCTTAGCTTCATGGACGCTTTTCGAGGATACCATCAGATTTTCATGCATGAAGAAGATGCGGAGAAGACCTCATTCGTCACCCCAGAGGGGATTTTTTGTTATCTTGTCATGGCCTTCGGGCTGAAGAACTCTGGGGCGACGTACACGAGGATGGTGGCCAAGGTATTCCGGAAGGTGCTTGGAAGGAACATGGAGGCGTATGTTGACGACATGATCGTCAAGAGCACCCGGGCATCCGATCATGCAGATGATTTGGCAGAGATCTTCGGGATCATGAAGGTAGTCCGTCTGCGCCTGAACCCGAAGAAATGTACCTTTGCCGTCCAAGGAGGCAAGTTCCTGGGGTACATGGTCACACGGAGGGGGATTGAGCCAAATCCTGAGAAGGTAAGGGCAATACTTGACATGGAACCCCCGAGGTCGGTGAAAGAAGTCCAGATTCTCACCGGCCGGCTAGCAGCCCTTGGACGTTTCATGTCCAAGTCCGCCGAGAAGTCCCTACCCTTCTTCCAAGTCCTAAAGAAACAAAATGGTTTCGTCTGGAATGATGAGTGTCAGCGAGCCTTCGACGACTTGAAGAAGTACCTCCTCTCTGAGCCTTTACTCAGCAAGCCGGAGAGGGGGGAGACGTTAATCCTTTATCTTGGGGTTTCCCAAGGTGCAATCAGTTCCGTGCTGGTTCGCGAGGAGGAAGGCGTTCAGCGTCCCGTCTACTATGTAAGCAAGACCCTCCAGAATGCTGAGCTCCGGTACACCCCGCTCGAGAAGACAATATATGCTGCCTACATCACCGCCAAGAAGTTGACACACTACTTCCAAGCGCACCCGATCAGAATCCTGTCGGACCAACCCCTAGGTGCCGCTCTGAGGGCGCCCGACACAACCCGGGTGGTGAAGTGGTCGATGCTCCTCAACCAATACGAGGTTGACTTCCAGTCTCGGACGTCCATCAAAGGCCAGGCTCTGGCTGATTTCATTGTGGAATGCACGGCCCGAGAAGTGGCAGATAGGCAACAGGAGAGCAATGAACAATGGTGGACTCTAGCGACTGATGGGTCGGCAGGAGCCAAGGGATGCGGGGGCGGAATCGTCCTCATCTCACCCGAGGGATTCCGAGCCTACTATGCCTACCGCTATCTTTTCAAAGTCTCCAACAATGAGGTGGAGTACGAGGCCCTACTATCTGGGCTACGATTGGCGGCCGCCATGGGAGCAGAGTGGATAACGGTGAAATGTGACTCCCGTCTGGTGGTTTCACAGGTCAAAGGTGAGTTCGAAGCGAAGGAAGAAAGAATGATGAAGTATCGAGATGTTGTTCGGGAGTTGCTCGGGTTGTTCAAGCAAGCAGAGTTGATCTGCATCCCGAGAAATCAAAACTCCGATGCAGACCTCCTCTCAAAGCTATCCCAAGGGTTACCTGAACATATATCGAGAATTGCACGCATTGAGGAGATGACGACCTCAAGCATATCAGCCTCACCGTCCATTGACGTCCTTCCCTGCAACCAGTCGCCTGGTGTTGGGTGGATGACCTCCTACGCTACATAGCCGATGGGACGCTCCCCGAGAGAGAAGAGGAGGCAAGGTTAGTCCGGCGACGAGCTCCAGGCTACGTCGTCTTGGATGGGAAGTTGTACAAGAGGTCCTACAATGGGACCTTGCTAAAGTGTTTACGCCCACATGAGGCGGAAATGATCGTCTCTGAACTTCATGGGGGCGTATGCTCCGCCCATCAGGGGGCAGGCACGTTAGCTAGGAAGGTCGTCCTCCAGGGGTACTTTTGGCCAACAATAATGAAGGATTGCGCTGACTATGCAAGGAGATGCAAGACATGCCAGAAATTCCAGAAGAGCCCCGGCCGACCAGCAACGATGTACACACCGATCAGCACCACCCTTCCATTCACAAGATGGGGTGTCGACCTGGTCGGTCCCTTACCAACCGGGTCGGGAAACCGGAAGTTTGTCATCGTCGCGGTGGACTACTTTACGAAGTGGGTTGAGGCCGAGCCGCTTGCCAGCATCACACATCTCCAATGTAAGAAGTTCATATGGAAGAATATTTTCTGCCGGTTTGGGGTTCCCCTCCAAATAATCTCCGACAACGGAAGGCAGTTTGACTGCAAAGCCTTCCGGCAATTCTGTGCAGAGTGGGGAGTAGAATCCAGCCGAGTTGCGGTCTGCTACCCCCAGGCAAATGGACAGGTGGAGAACACCAACCGGACGATCGTCGATGGACTGCAAAAGAAGTTGGAGGCCCTCGGGACTGCCTGGGTGGAGGAGTTGAACAATATACTCTGGACCTTCAGAACAACCCCAAGGAAGGCAACATGAGAGACCCCCTTTGCCTTATGTTATGGCTTTGAGGCGAGGGCACCGTTCGAGGCCGTAGTTCCCAGCCGGCGAGTAGAAGAGTTTGAACCAGCCAGCAATGAGGAGAGGCTCCGAGCCGAGCTCCACCTCATTGAGGAAAGAAGAGACCGTGCCTTCATCAAAGCGGAAAACTATCGACGACAAGTCAAGGCGTACCAAGACAGCCGAGCCCGACCCCGGAGTTTTGACGTCGGTGATTATGTCCTAAGACGTAGGAAGGCCAGCAGGCCGACAGAGGGAGGTAAGCTCTCCGTCAAGTGGGAAGGCCCTTACGTGGTTGACGCAGTGAATGCCGAGCACCTGATGAAGTTTTACCAGTAGAAAATCGAAGTTTCACTTTTCTTTGTAAACTCCTGTGCTCCGAGCACGGGATTACAATTTGTAATTCTTCATGTGGTCCGCCCACATCATGAATTCAATATACTTTGCTAGCGATATTTTGTCATCAAAAGAGGTCCGACCTCACTTAGCAATAAAGGGCGGCGGCAAAAAAAAAGGTACTATGCCCCCCCTCGGTGTTTGGCCGACCTCGGCCAGGCTCTTTAACCGAAAATAGCCAAGCGATTTTCAAGAATCTGGGCAATTTTCTAAAGTAAAGAGCTAGCCGCGACAGTCGAGGCGACGGTAGGGCCGGCCTCCGGGTCGAGGGTACTCAGGATGCTGACCTCCGGGTCCTTTCGAGTGCTCGCCGCCTAACATCGCTGGCCAAGCAGCTCGCACTCTCGTCATCCCTGAGTTGGCGGTGCGGGTTCGTTCTGGTGGATCATGCAGGGTCCGCCCCTGTTGTTTGGCTATCCATGCGGGAGTAACCAGATTATTCCCCAAGTCCGGGCAAACTGGACGGGTTAAAGTGACAGTAGGACTGACCCCCGGGTCATGAACGTTCAGGATACCGACCTAAGAGTCTTCCTCGTCGGTTCAATGTCCGACCTTGCTGGCCAAACAAGTCGCTTACTTGTTGATTCCATATCAATAGCGAACAGATCACTTCTATCCAACTAGGAGAGGCACGGATAGGCTCGGCCACGCCAGCCTAACCGCCCCCCGGGAGGTTAGAGAAGCCAGATCCCCGAATAAATTGCTAAGTATTCGTAATGCAAAGTATAGAAAAGGAAACATATGAATTAAAAGGTAATATTCATTCGAATTTTACATATGGTGGCTACAAGCTACAAAAAAAAGAGGTGCAACAGTCATGGCCGGATGTTCCCATGGCCATCAAGTACAATGATCCAGACACGGGAATTGCTAGGAATCTCAAGGAACTCTCCTGGAATCTGAATTCAGTGCGGTCTTCATCATGGTTGTTCACCTCTCGATGGGTGGTCGCCAAGTTCAGTGGAGGTCTCTCGTCATCAGTATTCTCTCAGCCGGTTCAATGTGTAACATTTTACTAATGCTTGTCTGCTCACCTTGGGGAATGGATCACCTTCCTATTTCTCACTGCCCGGGAGCCTTGGCTGCAAGGACATCACTGCCTAGGAGCCATGGTAGCTACGGAGTCCCCAAATTCTGAAAACAATTCAGCCGGACGGGAAGCGAACCTGCAAAGACAAAAAAAAAGAGAAGTAACAAAGCCTCAAACCCCAGTAAAATTCGCCGACCAACATGGAGCCCAAACCCGCCGACCATATTTACCAGACCCCGAGAACGACGCCCAGCCAGCTTGCCTTCGCCTGGGGATGCCGGGCGACACCCTATTGCCCGAGAATCCATCGGATCCCAATTGGCCGCCCATGGTACCAACCTTCTGGTATCTCGCCTAGGGTCGATACAGCCAGCCACCAACACCCGTCCATCTGGTCCGAGAGGGATCTGACTCCAGCAGCGCACCATAGCTCGTTCGCCCTGCCACCACCAACGTCAGCCTGCTGCTCGCTAGGGACAAAGGATTTGCCCACCTGAGAATCATCACACGCCGTCCCAACCTGGAAGCACTGCCGCTAACCGATGGGGCTGCCGACTTGGGAAGACGGGATGTTGCCATGGCCCGGTGGGTTGCCGACAGAAGCAGAGGGGTCATCGGACGTGCCTGGCCTTGAAATTCCGACGGCCCTTGGTCGCCGGCCCCCTCCCTCGCCAAGCTCTCCGACCGGTCGCGTGTGGATGTCGGGCTTGAGGTACCAACTACTCAATTCGTCCGCCGGTATGGAAGAAGAGGTGACGGCCTGCTGGATTTCCATCTGCGGCGCTGGGCTACGCGAGGAAGACGCACGCACACGGTTCCAGGAGAGAGAGGAAAAAGAAAAGAAAGGAAAGAAAAAGAAAAGGAAAGAAAAGAAAAGAAAGGAAGAAAAGAAAAGAAAGGAAAAGAAAAAAAAAGGAAAGAAAAGAAAAGGAAAGAAAAGAAAAGAAAGGAATTTATTTGGAGCATTTTTTGGGAGCCTGATTTAATTTGGGAATTTCCATAAATTCTGGGATTCCCATAATCCACAATTATGGCTCCCTGATATGTGAATATTTTTAAATCGGCAGCTGACTTAAACTACTCCCTCTTAGCCGAGTCTACTACTCGACTAAGGGAGTGGGGGACTCGTGATGGGGTTATGGGACTAGGCCCAGAGCCTAATCGGCCCAGGCCCCGAACTTGGACCAGCGGGCCCAAGCCCAGCAACCCAGAGCTCGAGTCAGCCCAACCAACCAGGGCAATCAAGGAGCGGAAGCCCAAGAGAGCCTGTCGACCAGCCCAGTGGGGAGCCTGCCTTCCAGCCCAGTGGGGAGCCCGCCTTCCAGCCTAGCCAGGAGCCTGCCGACCACCAGCCCAGCTGGGAGCCTGCGGTCCAGCCCAACTGGGAGCCTGCGGTCCAGCCTACCCGGGAGCCTGCCTTCCAGCCCAGTGGGGAGCCTACCTTCCAGCCTAGCCAGGAGCCTGCCGACCACCAGCCCAGCTGGGAGCCTGCGGTCCAGCCCAACTGGAAGCCTGCGGTCCAGCCTACCCGGGAGCCTGCCTTCCAGCCTACCCGGGAGCCTGCCTCCAGCCCGGTCAGAAGCCTTCCTCCAGCCTAGCGGGAAGCCCACCATCCAGTCCAGCAGGAGGGAGCTCAAGCGTCCAGCCTGCCAGCCAGGCTGACCTGCCAGCCAAGAAGAGTAACGGCCAACAATTAATGCGCGACTTAATTATGTGTTTAATTCTGTATTAATGTTGTAATTAATTTAGTCATTATTATGTTCGGCAGTTACCATTTGTAATCGCCTATAAAAGGCAATTCGAATTTCAAATACAGATATGCTATTTCTGGCTAACTTTCCATATTCGTACTTTCCTAATTCTTGCTTGAGTGTCGTACGTAGCTTTCTTAAAAGCCTACGAGCGTCCTATTTTGGACCAACACTATCCTTAATTAATCAAATTAGTTAATACAATTAATTAATTGCCACCTAGTTCCCTTGTATAAACGGGTCAATCAGTTGGTTGTGGGACCTGTGACGGACCTAGTATTTATATTTTGGATGTTCAAAACTACAAATTTTCTTCTTAAAATACTAGGAATAATTAATAAATTATTAATCTAATTCGGACATATATATTTTCATTGTTTTTATATCTTTGGGTGTTCACATGAACACCCATGAATACATCTGTCACTGGGTAGGAAAGTCCAACGATGGCTGTGGCAGAGGCAGCCGTCGCCGGTATCAGACTGGTCGAAGAAGCATTCTGGAAAAATTCTGGGAGCCAGCAACTGCGGTAGTGTCAGGCCCAGGGGCGGATGTATGCTAGGCCAGGGGTGGGCTTCAGCCCAGCCCAATTTTTTTTTTAATAGTATTGGTACATTTTCAAATCTCAATCCAGCCTAAATTATTTGTCAGCCCACCCCACAAATAATTTGTGAATCAGTGAAGTTATGAACTTCTGCCGTGAATTTGTAAACTGTGATTAACCGATTGTGTATTAAACTATTAATGTATTAATTATTATTATTTTTAGCATTTTAGAGTTTTAGGGCTAGGGAATCATACAACCGTTTTGATTATTAATTGAATTTTTCAGTACATAATTAAATAGTTTTATTTTTTATATATAAGTATTTTAATATATACCAATATTGAAAATGTTTTTAGAATGGATAATGAACATGTTGCTGTTGAGGGTAAGTCCCACAGATCCGAAAGCCCAACACGAACTTTGGATATATCAGGAATGGCCCAGAATCAAAGTGTATAAGAAAATATAAGATCTGAACTAACTAAAACTCGAAAGCCCACTTGTATTAATTAACCAATCTGATTACAAAGGATTTCCCGATCAGTAAGTCGGAAACTATGCTTTAATACAAGAAATAAGAGCAAATGATGCTATTCTAGAGCTTGAGTATTGAAAATCTAACCCTTACAATGCTTTGAAACCTTCTATTTATACTAATGGAGAGCATGGGCTGCCTCTTGCTGATTGGCCGTTGTTCCACCGACTTGGTCATCCATGCTTCCACTTGCGGATGTCATAGTCTGGCATTAACTGCACTTGGCCACTTGCTGGTTGGCCGTTGCTCGAACGGGATGTTGGGCTGCACTGAAGATGCTGTCAAATTGGCCCAAGTATGATATATAGCCCGAACTTCGTTCGGTATGTCTTCTTACTGGGCCAATCTTTATTTGGGCCGAACTCCGTTCGGTATGTCTCCTTACTGGATCTTCTCATCATAGAGTGATGGGCCTGTTACTTGGGCCGGACATCTTGGGCCTTCCCGATCTGGGTATTGGGCCTCTAGGTCAATATCCCAACACAAGTCCCCCACTTCCGATGTCTCGAACGAAGTGAGTGCATCAGGAAGTATACCAATGTCATAATACCCCGAATGGCGATCGGGGTACAGAAGTAATCAGTTCCCCATGCTGTGATTTGACGGCTGCCGCTTCATTTCCCCATATTCATCACGATAACCGTCGTTTAGTCTTTTCATTAGACGCGTGTTTTAGCTTAAATGCTCTTAGTGATGTGTCGCTCTCTGATTGGTTCTCGACACGGCGGTTTCAAGGCTATAAATTAGCCCTTAACTCCTCAATTCCGGGTTTCGACTCTGCAATTCTTTGGCCTTCGTTGTTTCCTCTGCAAATTTCCCCCTGCTTCCTTTGCTCAGGTAATTTCCCAACTTTGGATTCCCCATCTTCATTTCTGGCTTCGATCGAGATGAGCCCCAAAGAGCATTCCTCTGATTCGGAGATGGCCTCTCATGGAGATGACCGTGACACCGCCATTGTAGATGCCATCCCAGTTCCGTTTGCCGGTGTTTCTACTGAGACGGCGGCGAATACCAGGGCTGAGGCGGAGGACCTCCCTAGCACTTCTTCTTCCTCCAGTGAGGATTCTGATGACACCAAATCCGAGGACGAAATAGCCTCCATGGCGTCCGGACGTCCCAACGATGTTCCTCGCCACACTCTTGACCTAAAACTGATTAGGGAGAGGAGGCAAAAATTGACCTCCCATAATAGGGCCGAAATTCCGGCCCTTATCCCTGACCCGGTGGATTTCCGTTTACAAGCCGGGCTTCACCCAATGCGTCATAGGCCCGGAATGACCATAGTCCACTTTGACTCAATTAGGACCGGCCTTAGATTTCCGCTACACCCTTTCTTCATTTCTTTCTTCAATTTCTACGAAATTGTACCGGCCCAGATTATGCCGAACTCTTATCGAGCAATGGCGGGTTTCATTTGTCGTTGCAAAGATGTCGGCGCCCGACCAACCCTAGAGCTCTTCCACCAGTTTTTCAAAGTAGCCCCTCAACAAACCCATGGCTATTTGGCCACTAGTGCCCGAACGGGACACATCCTGTTCAAAGGAAACCCAACTTCGATCAAAGGGTGGAAAGACCGGTTTTTCTTCGTGTCCATCCCGGACGGTCTGATTCCCTGCAAGTGGAATGCCTTTCCCCGCAAAACCCCTGATCCTGTCCTCACTGAAGAAATCTACAAGGACATGCTTGCTGTGGAGAAGGATAAATGCATGGACATCATGAATTATCTGACCCCCGAACGACTTATAACAGCCGGGATAGGTACTGCCCGTTCTCTTGGGTTTACTTGTTTTGATAAACCAAGTGCCTTGGTCCGGGCGGTCCTTCCCGTGCGAGAAACGTTCTTTTATTCTTTTTTCTAGTTTCTCACACGCTAGGGCCGCTCGATACTAACATTGTTCTTTGTCTTTTTTCAGCACCCAACCCAGATCTTCCCATGGATGATAGCAGAGTCATCGCAGCCTGTGGGGGCAGAAAGCGGAAAAAATCCCGTAAGAACCCCCAACCTACTCCCACCATTGTTCCCGCTCAGGAGGCTGCCCCTTCCCAACCGCTCCCAGAACCTCAGCCAATTCAGCAGGTCCACCAGGATCAACTAGAGGCCATGCTGCTTGATGACCGGTTCGGTTCTGACCAACTGCACCAATTTTCCCAGCATTTCGACTCCGTTCGGGGGGAATCCTCGAATGCTGGTGAGACCCATACCGACCACATTACGGGTCAGGTCGAGCGGATCTCCCTATCCGACTCTGTTCATGAGGTTTTAGAGAGGGCTGGATCTACACCGAGCCAGATCTGGTGTACCTCCTCCTGGTTCAACAACTTTTCCCTTCCTCAGTTGCCAGTCGAGCAATCTGAAGAATGTCTGGCTCTGACTGCTCTGAAGGTATATTGTCTTTTGTGCTTTGTCTTTATTTTATTCTCTGTAACCAGCACTAATTCTCGAACGGTATTCTGTAGATGGGCTTGTACACCCTTCAGATGCGGGAGGCCCGCCTGGCCAAAGAGCGGGAACTGATTGTTGCCCAGTCTTCTGCTGAGCAACATGCTGCTGCTGCCATCGCCTCTCTAGAGGCCGAACGGAAAACCTTTGCGGAGGAAAAGCAGAGGCTGGATGCTGACATCGGTACCCTTCGGGTCCAACTCGCAGCTTCCCAGGCGAAGGTCCTTGCCGCTGAGGCCGCACGGGTTAGATTCGAAGAAATGCCATCCAGCATCCCGGATGGTCCCTATGAAGTGAACGTGGATCTGTCCGCCGTCCGGGACATGTTTAAATCCTCTGATGAATTCTCCATCATCAAGGATGAACATGCAAGGGCCCAAATCCCGTTCGCCTTTGGGGCGTATTTGAAGGATTTCCCCAAAGGCACCGGTTGGCTATCGGCTGGGGTGGCCCTCTTGGATAAGGACCCGGAGGCCAAAAAATGGAACGACTCCATTGTCTCCGATCTTTATGGCAAAATTGGCCAGGTCTTGCTGCGTCCCTTCGTCACTCAGCTTCAAAATCAACTGGGGAGGCCGGTTCAGGCTTCTGATCTCCCCACAGATGACATCATCCAGGCGCAGTTCGAGAAATATCTGCGAGCCCAGCAACGGGAAGCTGATCGAGCTGTGGGAAAAGAGCCTGAACCCCCATCTGATGATGATGAGGATGAGGATGAAGAGGGAGATGACATGGCCCCCTGTCAATAATTCATATGTACTTTTTCATTACTTGTTGGAATTTTCTTTTTCTCTAAATAGCTTGTACTTCCCGGTCAGTAGCACCGATGAATATATATCCCTTTTTGCCTGAACTTTGGCGTACTGTCTTTTCTGTCTTTAATGCATGATTTACTCGCCATTCGGGATTCGGCCTGTTTCGTAGGACTTAACCAATTTCCTGACTTATTTCTTGCTTAAATAATCCTAACGCCGTTGATCGCCGTTCGGGCATTAGAAAGTTCTGATAATTTACTTAAGGAAAAAACCCCTTCCCCTGGTACTCAGCCGTTCGGGCTTCATACCAAATTTTAGGACTTGGCACATTCTTGCTTCAGATAATCTCTTACAACTTGATAGCCGGTCGGGCTTTAGTTCAATCCTTAAGCTATCTTTTTATGACGTTGATAGCCGGTCGGGCTTCAGGACAATTTTTAGGACTTAACAGTTTTCTTCCAGATAACCTTTTACAATACTGTTGGCCGGTCGGGCTTCAGGCTGATATTTAGGACTTAGCATTTTTCTCCCAGATAACCTTTTACAATACTGTTGGCCGGTCGGGCTTCAGGCTGATATTTAGGACTTAGCATTTTTCTAAACAGCAAGCCCCTGTGATTTTTGCTAATCCTCTGTAAGCCCGTCCGGGGTACGTGCACAAAAAAATGAAACATAAA